CGAGCATACCAACAGCATACTTTAAGCTAGGAGCCACACGAAGTCACAAAAAAAAAATGGAGCCACACGTCCCCCCAAGTCTTTCCATCTCAGCACCACAATGGCACCTGTGAATTTGAGCAAACATTGGACCAAGGATAAACAGCAAATGAACCACAATGGCATCTGTTAATTCGAGCAAACAATGGATCAACAGGAAACTAATTAGCCGTAGAATCCTCCATTGGACGGTTATGCATAAAACTTATCACTAATACGTTATAACTGATCCAGCACAAAACGTAAAACTAGATAATATTCAAATCCAATAGGGAAAACTGTTCTAGTTCTCAAAGATAAAAACACCACATTGTGCATGCAACTGCAACGATATAATAGGTTCTACAACTTTCAGTTGTACTGCTCAGCAGCGAACTTGTCCTCGGGGTAGAACACGGCCACCACCTGGTTCCCGCCGAATTTCCTCCCATGCATCCCTGTCTTTGCTTTCATCAAGCCCTCCACATCTACATATTCCAAAAACACCTGCAGTGCAGCAAAAGCTCATGATTCAAGATACATAATGTGCCGGTTTTATCCAAATACTACAAACCTGGGTGACGCACTCTCTCCATACCTATTCCTACTAGTGCCTGATGTGCTTCAAAAGCTGATCAAAACACATGGACAAATCAGGCATCCAATCATTAACGGCAGCTGCCCAGTCCTTCAGTACACTCACGATATGCTTCCCAGTCAGGTACAACCGTACATGTATACAGCTAAGTGTTGGGGGAGCCCATACGGAGTATGGCCAACTCCCCTCGAAGAGGCCTGATGGAAGGAATGATGGCGGAGGCTCTCCCCAACATGGCGGAGGCTAGCACAAGGAAAATGGCGGAGGTCCTCCCCAAGACGGCAGAGGCTCTCCCCAAGATGACGGTTCTCTCATCGGTGTGCTTTGGGGCGATGCCGGTGACCCTGGCGCAGCCTCCGCCCGGTTAGCTCGCAGGCGTCTCCGGGCGGAGGGGGCGGAGGCCTCCCCGCTGCAAAGCTAATCAAGTGCCGACGTTACCTACGTGTGTACAGGTAACCGGAGGAAGGCGCTCGCGGACGGCGTGGGCGCGCCGGTTCGGCCTCCGCTCATATGGGGCGGAGACCCAAGCAGGAGGACGGCAGAACTGGGCGTCGGAGGTCAGCGGCTTCGGCGTCCCAGAGGCGGAGACCTACGGCGAAGGACCAAAGGCCCATCGCCGAATCCTGAGGCCTGATGGGTCAGTTGATCGCGCAGGTCCAGTACCTGAGGACAGCGTGACAAGATTACCCAAGAGACGAAAGGCGAGTAGTGGAATATTCTGAGAATGTACTGTAGCAGTTGGAGGGTACTATTGTAAACTCTGTAAAGTGGTAGTTGAGCCCTACAAATAGGGAAGACTTGTAACTGTACAGCAGGCTGGAAAATGAACAAATGAAACCCTAGTTCTTGTGAGTCGGTATTTTGATCCTCATTCTCTCTTTCAGGCAGTGCCTCTGCCGAAGCTAGAGTCCGGAACCTCGGCCAAAGTCGAAGGCCTCCGCCCCTTTCTTTCTCCCACTTTGCCAAAGCCCACTGAATCCTCGTTTAGCGACCTTCTACCCGGAGCCTCTGACGGATGATCTTGTCCGACAGGAGTGCGCCGCGTTCAGAGACCTCCGCCCGTCTTAGGCGGAGGCCGGCCTCCGCCCATCTTAGGCGGAGACCCCAACCTAAGACGAAGGCATCCGCCCACTTCTCACTCTTGTTAGAAACCGATGTTTCAACACTAAGCTAGACATCCTTAAGAAAACAAAGTTCCTTTTGTTCCGGCAAGCTTATTACTAGATTTTATTTGTTTATTTTGACATCATGGGCCATGACGAGAGGAGTTGGTGGCTTGTTGCACGTGGCCCAGTCGCGCATGGTCATAATTTTACGACCTCACCATCCACGTGGCCCGGCTGGCCCTGATAGTTGATGATTGTGCAACTTGCTTAGCAATATGATTAACAAAGACAATCGGTGCATGCTAACATATTTTGCAATAATACATCTGCTCCCAAACTTATGGCCTGTTTTGATCCACTAGCACTTATTTTTAGCTAGCTAATAACTACTCCCTCAGTCCTGTAACATTCTGGAGATTAAGGAGTGTCGTTTGACTCCATTATCCACTGTTCACAATTGTGACAATCATCATCGGACCTTACACCTGTATGTAGACCTAAGCTAGCTGTTGCCTGTTGGCCACCCTGCCGAGTCACCAGATCATCCAGGGATCCATGAGTCTTCTGATGGAACATCCAGATGAGGTATTTGTGCCAACCTTTCCCAATTTCCTACCGAACCATAGCGAAGAGAAAATGTCATTGTAGGACCTAGCACGCATACCAAGAACAGGTGAGAAAATTACAATAATGCCCCTGTAAAAGTTCATTCCCATCCCCAGACTCTCTGGAAGGTTTCCCGACACAATTACCTGATAAACATCGCCCCTATTAGTAGTACTACCACTCGCCCCGATCCGATTCCAAGCTTCCTTGCCTTTAGGAGGTTCCTGGCTGCTTCCTGGCCCTTCCCACGCTGTCGTATCCCCACACATGCTGCCGCCTAGCTTCCACCCGCCGCCGCCTTCTACGCATCCACGGGCCTCTCCGTCATGGCATCGCCCTCTCCCTGCTCCTCTATGTCAGCACAAGGAGAGGTGAAAGGATGGCTGCTGGAACAAGCACTCCACGGGACCATGCACCGCTACCCCTATTCGAATCGTTGAGATGGCATCTGTGGCAGGGGCTTGGGGGAGGCCGACAATGATGCCAAGGGCCGCCGCCGCAACCGGGGAGGGGAAGCGCGCAGTTGGCCCTGGTGTGGGCTCAGAGCGCGTGGTGGAGGATGGAGGTTCTTGCTTGCATCTTGAAGCAGGAGGCCATCACCGGAATCTCTTCCCTAGAAGATTTGGACTTCAGAGCAGGGACGTCGTGCACAGTAGGAGAATGGGAGCGGTGCAGGAGAAAAGATGTGGCGAACAAGTGGACGAGATGCTTCTGGGCATCCACACTTGAGGTGTGCGGCTGATTTTTTAGCGGACCCATATGGCCCACAAGCTGGTGATGACGCCTACGATTGTAGTTAATTTGGGACAAAATTTGAACCTTACGGTTGCAGTTTTTTTTGGGGACGGAGGGAGTACATTGTGTCAACATATAATTTATATTTGTAATTTATACAAAGAACTAGCACATAAAGGCAAACACTATAACATTAATGCAACACAGTGTAAGTACATGGGTAAGAGTTATGAAGTGAATCCCAGACAACATTTCATCAATTAAATGACAATGTGGTAGAGCTTAGCTTGCCATAAGAGATTTTTGACAGCATACATTTATACTCCATTAATATGCACAGATATCATAGACCTTGGTTTAATAGATATCTCCAACATGAAACATTGTCACAGTAATAACCTGAAATTCAAATGGGAGAATCAAACTTTGTTAAATGAATGATTTTAATATTGCAGGTCTATGATAGGATTTTGGTCCAATTAGACAATATCCTAGATAGAGATGTATGCAGTGTATCTAAGTAAGTTCTAATTTCATAATCTTATCACGCAATTAATTTGGGACAAAATTTGAACCTTACGGTTGCATCCACACTGAGAAATATGTGGAACAAAGTTAAGATCATTTTTCTTCTATATTATTTTACTACATAGGATATTTATATAAGTGCTAAGATAAAATTGCAAGATATATATTCCAGTCAATAGCTAAATCATGTTTGAGAATCTATTGTTCATTAAAATTTCCAGTGAGCATTTTATACATAATCTAAAACTTTGTATTTTATTTTGGTGCTTGTATCTTATTACTATTCTTTGAGCCCTTATCTGTTTGCCTTAGTGATGGATGAGGTCATAAGGGACATACAAGAGGACATCCCTTGGTGTATGCTTTTTGCGGACGATGTAGTGCTACTTGATGAAAGCCGGACATGAGTGAATCAGAAACTGGAGTTATGGCGGGAGCCTTTGGAGTCCAAAGGTTTTAGACTCGGTAGAACTAAAACTGGGTATATGAGATATGACTTCGGCACTACTACTCGGGACGAGGAAGATATTAGTTTGGAAGGTCAAGTAGTACCTAGAAAGGATACCTTTCAATATTTAGGATCAATGCTATAGAGAGATGGGGATATTGATGAAGATGTTAGCCATAGAATCAAAGCATGGTGGATGAAGTGGCGCCAAGCATCTGGTGTCCTATGTGACAAAAGGATACCACAGAAGCTAAAAGGCAAGTTTTATAGGACGGTGATTAGACCTGTTATGTTGTATGGTGCAGAATGTTGGCCTACGAAAAGACGACATGTTCAACAGATAAGTGTCATGGAAATGCGTATGTTGCATTGGATTTGCGGTCATACAAGAAGGGATCGAGTTCGGAACGATGATATACGTGATAGATTAGGGGTAGCACCAATTGAAGAAAAGCTTGTTCAACACCGGTTGAGATGGTTTGGACATGTCCAACGGAGACCTCTAGAGGCACCGGTGCGTAGTGGAATCCTAAGTATGATAGTAACGTGAAGAGAGGCAGAGGAAGACCGAAGTTCACTTGGGTAGAGGCAATAAAAGGAGACTTCAAAGGATGAAATATACCCAAAGACTTAGCCTTAAATAGGAGTGCTTGGAAAACAGCTATTCACGTGCCTGGACCTTAATTGCTTCTGCTGGGTTTCAACTCTAGTCTACCCCAACTTATTTGGGACTTAAAGGCTTTGTTGTTGTTGTTGTTGTTGTTGTTGTTGTTGTTGTTGTTGTATCTTATTACTATTCATTACATTAGCATCACCAATGTATACATTTGAGTGCTTTATTGGAAGCAAAATTTGGCATGATATTTGTTAGGTTCAAGCATGGGACTTTCCTCATTGAATAAATGATATAATATACAAGAGAGTGGGAAATGTTAAAGGTTGTACCTTTATAATTTTCTGTTTAAAATAAAACATTGTCTTTGAAGTGAATGTATGATTCAACCGCTATCCTCAGGCCATCCTAGAGCATACATAAGTTAGAAAAGTGTGAGTATTTAAATTAAACGGAGTTGTCTCAACAAAAATAAATAATATGATGGGAACACTGAAAGAGTTCGAGTTACGAACCCTGAGTGAAACAATGGGTTTGTAGCCAAGTTCTTCAACAGCCTTGTCGCTGCTAAATGTTCTATTGAGTGTCAAATACTTAACCCTTGCCATTGTTAGCAGTTGAGGTTGACGCATTCCATAGTGGTGAAGTAATAACTTGTATGTCAACTCTAGGACATAAATTATTGGCATGATAACCAGTGTAGGTATTCTTATCTCCAACGGTCTGCATCAAAATTCATCATCTTAGAAATATATCTGGTTACATAAAAATATGCTGTCTTCACTGCTCCCTTCGCCCCAAAATTGATGAGATCCCAGCAAACAAAATTAATGCTAGAATCTGGGTTTGCTTGATGTGCACGCATTCTTCTCAGGGTAGGGGGAGTTTCAGAAACTATATGTACCCTAAGTTTTGATCTTAAAAAAATGGCATATAAGAATCAGTAAACTATCAAAATTTATATGGGTTGAAATTGACAGTTCTAAACAAAAAAATATATATTTATGGAAAAGTTGTACCAAGATTACTTTGAATGTGTCCCCAGGTTTCAAATCCCTCGAAGCGCAGTTTATGCAACTAATACTACTACAAAAACGGTTTTTAGAGATGGACTCCTTTTTCTGGAGACAACATGTAACACTCCAGCCCGTTAATAACCTATAGTAGCTAGCCCATTTGGGCCATGTGTGCTTGTGATTGGTGGGTTGAGTACCACCTTGAAAGTTTAGGAGTGTGAGGGCTTATAGCTGTAAATGTAGCACCTCCGAATTAACCCTTTGACACGAAGCGAGGACAAAAGTGTATGAGAGGTGCTACGCGTATGCAGGCCCATTCCACGTCAGGAGCTAGGCCATATAACAATACTATCAAAACACAACCTCTAGGAATCTCTAAAGATGTCCTGACTCTAGACATCTATTTTCATAACAGATTGGGAACACGAACCGCCTCTAGAAATTGATTTCTAGCATCATTTGCAAATGTGCCTCACCTCTAAAAATAGGTGCACCACAAAAGAATCATAGCTTTTACATATAAAGACATATAAAGACAAATCTTGTATCGATGTTGTAGACCTTGAAGACAATATCATTTAGGCTCTCAAAATTTGGATTTAATTTCACATATTGTGAAAGCCACTTTTAAAAGTTTTCAAATGATCTTGGATGGACGTACACCCTAAACTCTTGAGATCTAAAAGGAAAAAGTCTACTTAACCCCCTCAACTATTGATGGTTGTCTACTTCACCCCCTCACCTATAAAATCAGGTATTCTACCCCTCAAACTGTTGTAAACCATCTAAATAACCCCTTGAGACGGTTTTGAAAGTGGTTTTGCTTACATGGTATATTAAAAAGTCTATATAACCCCTAACATATCAAGGGTTGATTGCATGACCCCCTCAACTATAAAATGTGATATTGTAGCCCTTAAAGCATCTAATAATGTTCGCATGATGTTCATGTAGGGTTGTTTGGACACAATATCCCACTACACTGGCCTAAGCACACATGCTTGCGCACAAGCCCATCGGATGCCTCCCTTTCTGAACTCTTTCCAAGCTTGTGCTTTTGCCCGATGAGCGCTACCTTGTTTCCTACTCCACCTCAAGCACTCCTCAATGACATTTTGCACGTGCACTACACTTGCGTCCCTGTCATCCGGCTCCTCCCACATCCGCGCCCCCTCTCGCTTTCTCCTACCATTGCTGCCTAATAAATTGAAGGATGATAGGATGGAGGATGTGGGAGGGACTAAATGATGACGATGTAGGTGTGGTGTGCTTGAGCTCAATACCATCGATGAGTCATGAGAGGTGGAGCAGGAGACAAGATGTCACACGCTGCTCCCTGGGCGGTGGGTTAGTCTACAAAGAGTAAGGATGTGGAGGCAACAAATGGCCTATGTGCAAGCATTTGTGCTTAGGCCAGTGCGGCGGGATACAATGTCCTTTCAACCCTAAATACTATCCGGTGAGTCATCTGAACATTATTTGATGCTTTACGGGCTATAATATCATGTTTTATAGGTGAGGGGGTGATGCAATCAACCCTTGATATGTTAGGGGGTTATATAGACTTTTTAGTATGTCATGTCAGCAAAACCTTCTTCAAAACCGCCTCAGGAGGTTATTTAGATGGTTTTCAATAGTTTGAGGGGTAGAATACCTAGTTTTATAGGAGAGGGGGTAAAGTAGACAACCATCAATAGTTGAGGGGGTTAAGTAGACTTTTTCCGATCTAAAACATTACATCTCTATTTTTCATTTGAGGAAGTTGATTTTTACAGGCAGCCGACAAGTTGACCTGCCTCTAAAAATTGATTTCTATGAGTGGTTGAATGCCTATAATTATAAATCATTGATTTCTTGTAAAGGCATGAGAGTGAAGTGGGAAATTCTAACACACACACTCTCACTTCTCTGTTGTTCAACATCCTTTCTCATCATGCTGCTGATGGCCATATGCCTTAGGCATGGTCACCATGTCAGCCTTGGGTGTTATTGTCATGTGAGCTACCAAGAATTGATTCACCACATCTGCTCATGGCCTGTAACACCCGTGTCCAAAATATGCTTATATGGCCCAGCTCCTTACATGAAATGGGCCCGTATATGCATAGCACCTCTCTTACACTTTTGTCCTCACTTCATATAAAATGGTTAACTTGGAGGTGTTGTGTTTGGAGTGACAAGGATTATAAGTTGGCCCTCACCCTTCTAAACTTCTGAGGTGGTACTAAACCCACCAACTACAACCACACATGGGCTCCCGACTACATACTTTATCACCATAAATATTTTATAGTATCTTTGAGAATTAAGTGCTCCCGATATGCTCTGATTTTTATTGCAACATACATTTTCAAAACATGAGGCAATCATAATTCTATTATCCAAATATAAAATGCAATCCTCACAAAATTGTTCTACCTATGATCCCAATCCTCACAATCAATCCTTGGTGCAATGCTGTACTTCTGCCACTATTTGAGGATGGGATGTTCTACTAACAAAGAAGCATAAGACTATGAGCTCATGCCGACAACATGATTCATGACATTCTGCAAATCCTCCACAATGAATAATTTTCTATCAGTAAATGTTCTCTGTCTAGATTTCAGAATGAAGAATCTAGGGAATGTTTACCTTTTGTATCCAAGTTCAGTACGAGCCATATATGCAAAGCACCATAGATTTACCGGTTCCATGTTAGTTATAAAATATGCCTGCAAATGATTTCATATGTCAATGAAATATGTTATAAAACTCACATTATGGTATGGAGTGGTAAACACATACTTTGCCTCCACTGATCTTAGCACCCTCTTTTGTAGAAAGAGTTTTCTCGGCGCAGAGGTGACTATGAACCACATTTTCAACATAAACGAAATCATCATAGTTATTTCCTTCACCAATAATAAACTGCAAGCAATACAATAGGTTATCTCCTCACAATATATGGAGATCCCAATTCCCAAATCTTTGTATTAAGACTTATAAATTAATCTAACAACAAATACATTGACAGAAAGTGATGTTACAATGATATATAATGTAACAAAACCGGCCCGTTAGAAGCATGTAATAGTTGTACTCTTGGTCTATAAGGAGTTGTAGTTGGTGGGTTTAGTACTACCTTAGAAGTTTAGGAGGGTGAGGGCTGGCTTATAATCCTTGTCGTTCAAAACTAGCACATCTGGGTTAACCCATTTACACGAAGCGAGGATGAAAGTGTAAGAGAGATGTTACGCATATGCAGGCCCGTTCCACATGCGGAGCTTGGCCATATAAGAAGATTTTGGACCCGTGGTGTTAAATATGGCCTTTTGTTTATTATTTTATTATTTGTACCTCAGCATAATACACCACTACGAAAAGCTAGCGTTAGCATACTACACCACTACAAAAAGCGTTCTCAGGATCGGCTCAACTAGATAGATTTATAGAGGTAGGTGCCTTAAAAGGCTTGCCCATAAAAGGCCTGGCTTTGGACATGATTTCTACAAAGCAAAAAAACAACAGTAAAATTACTAAAAAAAAATAGATTTAAAAAAAGCCACAACTTTTGGATCGTGCATGTCATCATCCTTGGTTGTTTGGAAATTTTAAATTTCATAACTGGAGAACATAAAACACATATTTGGCACTTTAAAATTTTGCAACTTAAAACTTGTGAGCTACAAAACTATAGATCATGTTGAGCTCTACAATTTTAAGATAGTTATTTAGAGAAGTGGACCTAATAGGCATGTCTTTGTAAACATCCATAGAGGCAGACTTCGTAAGATGTCTATCTATGTAATAGCGTGTTTGGTTTCCCTCTCAGCGGAGCCAGGCTCGATTATACTAGCTAGGCTAGCTGCAGGGACAGGTTCAAGACATGCAACTGCTTGTTGCTTGTTTCAATGAATCTAGAGAACCAGGATAAGTAGAGCGTTTGCTTGGTTGGCTATGCCACGATACATCATATTAAAGTGAAATGAAAAAACAAGTACTAAGATAATATTTATTTTGTTTGAATCGACTGTATATTAGTTAATTTTACCATGTTAAGCCTTAATCATCATTGAAATATACTAATATGGCTTAAAATATGGTAATTATTTGCTAATTCCATATTACCTTACTAAGACGCTGCATCCCGGGAGCCTGGCTCAAGTGAAACGGATTCCATTTTCGTTTCTCGGGGGGGCAGGCTCACGGGATGCTTTTGCACACGGCTCCATCTAAACATAACTGAAATTGCATCCTCAGAGCCTGGCCAAGGCATATGCATCTAACCAAATTAGCTATAAGTTAACTTTTGGAGGCAGGCATCAGTGGCTTCACTGGAGATTCATAAAGGAGGTGAAAGTCAAGAGGCACCTCTATAAATAAATGAAGGCATATCCTAAAATCAATTTTGTAGTAGTGCTCATGAGATCCTAACAGATAATCTGTAGGTTCCAAATAAAAAACACTAAAACCATTTATTGATTTCATTACCTTTGTACTCATCCAATCTATAAATACTAGGCTACACGAATGAAACATTAGTGACCAACCAGGTCAGCGCTAATAGTAATATTAAATTGTAAGCATGCCATATATATACTTACATGTATTCTTCCATAGTGATCAAGAATTGGTATCACATGATCACCAGGACCAAAAATGTTACCAGGACGTATGCAACAAGTTACAAGATCATTTAGGCTGTTCGCCTTCAAAACTAACTTCTCAGCTTCTGCCTTGGTTTGCCCATATGCATCAGGAAACTGCCACTAACAAAATTGCCGTCAGAAAAATAGATTTTGACTATATCTTCAGAAGTTTGTCTAGTAGAACTAAAAAAAAGTTTGTGTAGTAACAGCATGTTAAGAACCTGTCGGTTAGTTGTCTTTTTCACAACTTATGTACAGAATTTCATTTCACTAGAAGGAATGGGGATAGTATATCTGAAGTAGTAATACCCTTTAATTATTAGTTTGGGTGTTCCATACTAATTGTGCCTAGTGTGCTTGAATTAATCTTAAAATCCAAACCTTATCTGGGTATGGCACTGATTCATTGGCGTTGAGAAGTCCATGAAATCCATCAAATACAACAACACTAGAGCTGGTATATATAAGCCTTTTCACATTGCAGATCTTACAAGCATCGATCACATTTCTGGTCCCTGTGCATGTAAAATATAATTCAAAAGCTAATTCAGGACCCATGGTTATGTTATTCTTCTTATATAAATAATAAATAAATTTATTCAATATTGTTGTAATTATATAAGGCATCTAATGGGTTCAAACTAATTTGTGTTTTATGCAGTGTCTATCACTAATAAACTCTGTGAAATGCCATATATTTTAGGACTGGACACCTCGTCAGAACGAATGATTTTACAGTAGAAGGTGCAAAATAGCTATCAAATTTATTCTCATTGTGCCACTGAAGAACAAACATGGACAGTTATGCTACTCACCCTCGACATTGACCTTGTAATGAAGTTCCAAGTTGTCTTTGCTAGGATCTGCGGCAGCCGTGTGGAAAACAACATCTATCCCTTCAAAAGCTGAACACGAGAAAAATTGGTATTACAAAACCAAGATATATGCACACTTGAACAAATGAGATATCAGGAGTACCTAGGAATCCAGGTTATATGATCCATTGAAGAGTCAAAACTGTTTACAAATTAAATGTGGGCCACCTAAGCTACCTATGAAAATCGGTTTCTAGATATGGTTGGATTAGGTGACTCAGCTCTGAAAATCGATTATCTGGATCTTTTTTACAAAGGGATAATATTAATAAAAACACAATGCGACAAGGCTACTAGCTAACCATCGTGGTTGCAAGTCACAAGTGACCCATTTCGTACAAACTATGTCATATGCATTTCTTAGGATTTGCAGTTCCCACTACTGAGCAAGCCTTTTTTTACCATCCCATTATTTACTTATCTAGAATCGATTTACTAAGGTATGCCTCATCACAGCGCACCTATAGAAATGAAAAATGTTAAATTGACATTATAAATAGAGCTTAGTTGCCTATAACAAATGTTTTGTCCCCATAAAAAGTTGTCAGATAGGACCGTCTTCGAAAATCGATTTCCAGAGGTTAGTTGCAGCCTTTCGGCTCCTAATTTGTTTTTTTAGGTGTTCTCTCTTCTGAAAACTCCTCTTAAAACTAAATCTAGCATCTACATGAATAGATTTTGTAGTTGTGGGGCCTGCTTGTTAGCAACCAATTTTTTTGTTGTTAACCCTTCAAGTTTAAGCACTTCCTATAAAGATCGCCTAAAAGCCATTGTTATAAATACTTTGTTTTAGGAGTATAATTCAATATCTGAATGCTACCATTGTTTTGTGTAATGTATACATACTCCATCTGAATCATCTTGATGTCCTTTTTGTGTGCAAGGTATGGCAAAGTTGGGCTGAAAATTCTTTTTAAATGAGTGAGTAATTAAATGTTTTTGAGTCTTAAAATATCCTCGATAGCTTATTTTTGGGCACAAAGTTTAAAGCTTTTGTATCCCTTACATTACACGATGGAGCAAGTTTATAAATGCTGACGCCTCTTTAAAACACCCATATATGATATGTCACTCATGCACATGCATTTCCAATGGAACTAGATTAAATGACTTAGAGTGCAGCCTCTAACTGTTATAGTATATGCTGCAACAAAAAGGTATGAACAACTCCTAACCCTTATCCTAGTGATGACTATGACCCACTGGCTGAGGAGAACCTCCCTTACACATGTAATAAAACTACATCCCAGAACTCTCTTATGGGAATAAAGCGATATGACTTGAAGCTACACTCGTGAGAAAATGGTTTTTTTTTCATAAAGCCAAGTATGATTGTCATTAGGTAAAAAAAAAAGAAGAAGTACGAAACAAATAAGGATTTTTGACCCCAAGGCAGCCCACTCAATTTTGAAGTGAAATACTTGTGCATGTGGTTTCAAGGATTCGAACCACTGACCTCTTCTCTTGCATGATACTTATGATCCCACCTAAGCTTCACTTCTAATAGCAAGGGATTTGTAACTTTTGACACTAGCTGTCAAAAACTTTTGATGATTATATCTACATAACTAAAGGTGAAAAGTTTTTAAAGTGGTGGATATTTACCATAACAAAATGTTAATTATGTCCTATTATGAATATGTCGTGGCTTATTTAAAAGTATGTCTATAAAGTCAATTTCTTTTGGCTTCGTCCAAAACCAACATAATCATTGTATACATTATATCATGTAACTATTATAATATAGTGAGTATTTTATCTCTCTAAAAACTTAGAGATCAGAGTTACCTAACTACTTCACAAATTGTCATTACATTATACTCCCACCTGCCCATTTTACAAGTTGTAGTCTGACATGTCACCCAAACTACATTTGACCATTCATTTCCTTCATAATATATTTTTATGATTATAAAATTAAGATTATTGGATGCTACATGTGTGTCTGAATGAGTACATGAATTGCGACAGTCAGAAATAATTCTAATAAATATTTCTTAAAGATTGTTACTTTCCTACCATGCATACTAAAATATGATGAATTCCATACATTAAATTTTCTTTCAACTATATTCGTACAATTTTAAAAGTATTTTATATCCAAACAACTACTTGTGAAAAGAATTATCATCTTTATTATTATTTCGAGCTGCAAAATGTACGCTCATATCCCATACAGTTCAAAACAGCAACGCTTGTGTCAGATGGTTCTTAACTTAAACATTGAAGATAATACTAAACTATTCAATGTGGGGTTTCCTTTTCTACAAGTGTCGCCTACAGGATAGCAGGGCCCAAGGCAGCAGAGACTTTTGGACTGTCAGATTGATGAGAGAGGAACAGTGGAGCGACAAGAGGAAGATAAACAGTACTAACAGTAAGCTAGGGGTGTACACTTTTTTGTTCTATATATTACCTCTGGCCATAAAGAAATATCTTGAAAACTTCAAACATATCATAGATTTTTAAATTAGTTTTAAGCATCTAGATAGGTTGTATTAGAATCTAGCATTATATTAAAAAATTTAGAGTAAAAGGTCAACGCCCCAGTCTTATCATAAAAGACCAAATATCAATTACAACATCTAGATGGGTGACATCCGACACATTGCATTAAAATTTAAAAGATATATACTAGCATATTCACCTCTGATAAGTTGACCTAGACTGCAGACATCCACTGATGAATAGACGGCACGGCCATCCTGGAGGGCGTCGCCGAGGAGCTCCTCAGTGTCGCCACGGCCAAGCTCGATGGCGGGTGTGAGGTCAGTGACCCGCACAAACCACTCGCCAGAGCGGAGTAGTGCAGCCACCAGGTGCCTGGCCATGAAGCCACGGCCACCGGTAACCACGCACCGCCGCCTCACCGCCTGATGGGCACCGTTGTACTCTGCAAGAAGCTGCGACCCCATATTGCTATTGTGTGCTCTCCCTGCTGGTCTATGCACGTATATTTATAGCCAGTATAATCGGTGATTAGATTCAGTTTCAATTAAATTGGCAAGCTCATGTCCCACATGCCGTTTATTAAAATAAGACAACAGATCAGCCAAATCTTAGTGTGACGATGGGCGAAGAGAGCATACCGTATACGCATTACTAGCTTATTAGGCACTAGCTATGAATATCGGACGAAGAGATGTAATAAAGCATATATAAATGAGAAGTGTTGGATAGCTTGAGCAAGTGCAAAACAAAATGAAAAGCACATTAGTTGTGTCAATTTTAGGTTATCTAACTAGCAATCATCCTTATTTTTATGTCCAAGGCGGCTGCTGTTTCGTATTAGTACTTCTCTGTATCCAGATGGCCGCTTGATTGATTCCTTGACCACGTAAGCTTGATGGCGGACAGAGTAACGTACACACGCAGCATGCGTATATAGATACGCCCACACGTCAAAGTAGCACAAGGCATAGAACATAAGACAAACATGATGCGTGACAGCTTGCATGGTATTTACAGACACGCATTGATCGGCGTATCTGTAGTATCAACATTATTGTACTCACTGCTCTGATAATAAATAATACACTAATCACTTGCTGAAATAATTAACTGTCCTAACGTGATACATTTAGCAGCCTAACTAAATGAAAGAAATGGCACATAAGACAAATAATTTAACATGTCAAATTTGGCTATCGGGTATTTTTTTTTTGCAAATATATCCAGTATGTTAGATATGTGTAGAATATTATGTACGAGTTTGGTTACACTAGGACTCTAGGTTATATTTGGCAGTATAGGGTAGAGTTGGAGTTGTAATATATAACCCAGTCTCCTCATAAATACACGAGAGGAGTGCTACTGTTGTAACCATGATGACATAGCAACACGTTTGCAGTGGGTGGTGGCATATTGCCAGACCCTGGAGCAGCCGATGTTTCTGGTATCGGGAGGAACGTTCGTAGTCATGCCTTGAGGATGTAGGCTTTGTCCGAACCTCGTTAACAAATATCGTGCCTTTGAAGTCATCTGTGATCTTGCATGTTTGTCTTGGTAGATTTAATTGATGCTTCTGCGCGTGGAGATTAACAGATAGATTGCTGTTGTGGGGGCTAATTTCTAACAATTGGTATCAAGAACTATGGTTGGATTGGATCTAGAGGTTGTGCAAAAGATCACCTAGAGGTTCAAGGATCATGCATCTAGTCTCGTTGCAAGCGGATACAGTGCAAGGTGGAGCAGGGCTATGGCTAGGACGTCTGGGCAGCACAAACATGGCCGAGGTAGATTGACGGGAGAGTCGACTGCAGCTAGGATTTCTAGCTTGTTTTCATTGATGGTGGCTACCTTAATTCATAGTTTATGGATGAAGCAATCATGTGGTGTCAGAGTAGCATGTTGGATGACGAGAATTGCAAGCTGTGGTGGGTTAATCTGTATGTCTGTCGACGGTTTGATAGAGTACCTTGCAGTCTTGCGCGTGCTCGCAAACTTGGAAAGGGAATTGTGCTTGGGATGTCGGAGGAATGCCAAAATCTTATTCAGTACGCGTGTGCGCCACACGGGCTAGCAACATGCTCTTTCCTTTTTTGGCAGTCTCTCCTTCCATCCGGCACTTCCCATTTCAGTCGCTGTGTCTCATTCCCCCTCCGCAATTAAAACCCCTGTGTTGGCCATACCTCTCTCCGGAGGCAAATAGGTGACTAGGGTTCCAGCTCCCAGGACATGCCGTTGCTCAAGGCACCACCGCCATCGTATCCCAGCACCCGTGCTATGCCATCCACCTTTGCCGCCCTCCCCGGTCACCACCAGTGCACTCCAATGACACTCGAGAAGTGAGAGACAAGAAAACAAAGTGTTTCTGGCCTTCCTGTTGCTTCATGTTGATCAATCTGGATTTGATCAACCTGAGCTGCCAAGACGATGTAGTCCTAGGCCAAACAAATCTCCCAAACACGAGATTCAAGACTCTGGAGATACACCGACATGCGGATCTTCTAGTATGTGTAGTTCGTGCCATCGAACCATGAAGCCTTTCCACTGGACCTCTTCTCATTGTCGCTTCGTGGATTAAGAACCGGTTAAGGTGGATTGATCCGTAACCTGCTCTGATACCAATTGCAGGACCGAGAAAGGCGAACAGAGAGGGGGTGAACGGGAGCCAAATAAAAACTTTTATGAGACTAGCCTCTGTCCAAAAATCAAACCCCAAAACTCTAGAAACACCAAGAGGAGCTCATACAAACAACATGGGTTACTAGATGGACCCTAGAAATCATAGAGCCCATGTAGCAGAAAAAATAGGAACAAATGGAGCACGAACCAGTGCTAAACTGCTCAGCCTCTGCTCACAACAAACCAGTCTGGTCGGTACTGGACCTATCCGGTACGTCCATTGGACAAGGTGAACCAGACCTATCTATTATGTGCTGCACACCCCCATGAACATCTGGACTTATCCGATAGCTCTACAGGACATGTTTGTTGTAGATGAACAGCCCCGAAAAATTCAAAGCCCAAAACTGATCCAAATCAACTCCAAGCAATCCCAAACTTTGCAAGGATGTTCCACAAGGTGTTGAGAGGATATCGTTAGAACATCAACTCCAAGAACCCAGCAAATCTCTCTCGATCTCAAAATCCATCTCTAGGAAAAGGGTTTTGTCGTGGGTCGGAACCACGACATGCATTGTTGTTCGAGTCGAGTGTCAGAGTACGTGTCTCCGGTGGCTCGGGTGGACTCAAGAACACAAGAATCACAGAGAGGACACAAGGGTTTATCCTGGTTCGGGCCGATTGGTGCCCTACATCCAGAGTAGCTGATGATCCTTATATTGAAGAGCACCCAAAATTGGGGGTTATAATAGAGTGTAGAGAGAGATTAGGTAGGGGGTTAGCTCGGTGCTAATCCTAAGGTTGCCTCAGCCGCCGGTGGAGCCTTCCCCTTGTTGGAGAGGAGGAAGATGATGGGTGTGGCGAAGGAGCCCTCGGTGCCCCTTTCTTGGTTGCCCTGCTCTCGGTGCTGAGCAGCAGCGGATGGAATGAGGAATCGAATGATCTGCCTAGGATCCTCCCTCCCCCCTCTAAGGTTCGACCTTATTCCTTATATACCGAGATAGGTCGGGTACATGGTGGTTTGGGGGATATGTCTATGGTCTACATGCACCGGAGTCCAGGAGGGTCTAGCAGCGGTGCTCTATGGATCATGGTTGTGTCGTGGAGTCGAAGAAGCCTTAGACGCCATCCGACAGCTCTATTCTAACACTCTGCATGTCAGGCTATGTCGGTTTGGACCGGCCTCCCCCAGGTGGAAATCTAGAGTCTTCTTGGTGGCGAATGAGGTTGGCTCCAGGGGCTGACACGTGGGCCTGGGAGCCACCCAGCCCCTAGAGGCTGAGGAGACTTGTCTTCTTGTGTCACACCCCATGCATGACCCTATCGCGAGAGCGGCTAGCAAGGCCGCGCCTGAGTGTAGCGTCTGGGAGCCCTCGAGCCTCGATGGCTCGGGGCTTGTCTTCTTGCGCCTGGTCCTTAGCTAGCATCATAGGGTTGGGCAGGAGCCAAGGGCTGAGCATGGGCATATCATTGATCGGGAGCCCGAGGTTAAACTTGGTAATGGTCTCAAAACCAAACCATACCTAGACCAAGCTATTTCTAAATTAAATGTCGGCCCACTTTGCCCCACACCATTCATCCTTTCTCCAAAACCGGTCCCAACCAAACCATACTTATATCCAAAACCATAGAGTCCAAACTATTTCTTCAAACGGTGGTTCTAGACATAGCAAAACCTTGAACGAACCTTTCAATGGCCGCGGGCCACAGCGACTTCAGTTTCCTGAACAAGCTCTTTTGCTGTGGCCGCTGACTGTAGCTGCTGCTAACAGCGCTCATACGCTTGCCATTTGTGTCCTATGATCAAAAGCTACTACACAAACTAGTGATGCGAGGCCCAGATGAGGCGGGTGCCGACATGTGCGACACTGCGACTTGGTGCCTCAGCAACGATGTCTCGGTAGTGGAAAGAAGTGGCAACCCTGCCAGCAATGGAGAGGTCCATACTAGAGTTTGCTAGTCGCTGGATCAGCGCCCTGGCTGATGGCCCAGCCAAAGCAGAGGCTAAGGGTGCATGTGGAGGCGGTAGAGTCTCATGGCCACGACGTGGGGCAGCCGGCGGAGTCACGCATGGAGGCCTCTAGCCGCAGCGTGGGGTAGGCGGTGGAGTCACGCATGGAGGACACGGAGGCCCCATGGCCGCGGCGTGGGACAAGCATAGACCCATGGCGGTGCTTGCTCGACAGCTCGATTCAAACTAAACCAAACTGGATCGATCCATTTGATGTGCTAATACAAACCAAACCAAACCATTGAAGTTTTGAGCCCATTTTCCACTGAACTATATTGACCCAAAAGGAAAACCAAACTATAAAAACTGGTTCTAGCCCAAACCATTACTAGGTTTACGTGAGGCTCGGGTGAGCCCTCGAGCCCTGAGTGGGACGTGCCCAAGCTCAATCAGGTCTCTTTAGTCGGGAACCATTGACCCCGAGGCTCAATATACCCATATGTTAGGATCTCGTCAGAAGCCCCCTGAGCCCTTTGTGGCCTCACTTGGCCTGGTTCATGATGGTGATGAAGGGCTGAGTTTGATCTTCTGGTGACCGAGCTAGCCATGGTGGGGATGGCTTCCACTGATGAGAACACGATGCCCTTCATGGGGCCCTTCCCCTGATGTGACGGTGGCATTCGGCTATCGGGGCCGAGTGGTAGAGGTGCGAACCCTTCTGGTCCTATGTCGCGTAGGTCTGTGGCCCGAGCGAGGGTTTGGTGAAATCGTCTGGGAGTTACCAACTTTATGCCTGGGGCACCCTTCCTTTTGCTCGGAGCCTACCATGGGTGGGGTGATCGAGAGCGTCGGGCTCGCCCGAGGCTACCTGACCACCCGATGTGCACATGCCCTTCT